GAGTCAGAATCCACTCAATGGAAGTAGGCTGGGTTAAGGTGAAATGTCTATTTATCCTTTGTATTTGGTTATTAGCTTAGCAGATTATGTAGTTTTTAGTTGGAACCTAACTATAAAAGTTGGGGGGGGGCGTAAAGGTTGGAAGATGAACACTGTTTTGTGGGTTTTAGTATTGTTGGATGTTGATCCTCTGCATATGGCTTCTATTTTCACACTATGTGTCACGTAGGATTTTTTCTTGGTTGCTAAATGTCACTGTGATGTGCCTCGTTAGTGTTTTTTTCACCACGGGTATTTTGTAGATTTCTTTATTCTGGGGTTGACGCCCTACAGCTCTAGGTGACCTTTATTTTACTGCAGATGTTAAAACATCCATTTTATCATCTTTCTAAATTCAGCGCCCCTGTTCTGCTCTGAAACCACTTGCGCTTATTTTCCAACTTTATTTCCTATAATTTTCTCTCGTCTTTTCTTCGGAGTACTTCTCCATTTTTCAAATTTTCCAGTGGCATATTTTTAATTTCCAAATACATATTTTTTGTGTTCTCAATGTACCTTTTTTATTACAGTTTAGTCTTGCTTCATGGGTGCGATACCAACTCAGATTTCTTTATTTTTTTAACTCAGATTTCTTTAATGAATGACTCATTTTTAACAGTTTTTCCCCATACATTAAAAAGAAAATTTTTGGTTATTCTATTCCTTCTTTTCTGTTTGCTTTGTCTTTGACAGTAGAGATTGTACTTAGATGGTTGAAAATCTTTTGTCTTATGCTCATATTTAAGAGTGGGAAAAAGACCACAAATGTATTGGAGTTTCTGAGCGTAGTGTGTGGCACTTAGCCATTGTGTTCTTCACCACTGGGCATCCAGCTGAGTCTTTTCATAGTGAAGCCCCACGACCTTCTGTAGTGACCTGTTCACATTCCCCAGGTGAAGCTCTTCTAATTATTTCGTTCTTCTGGGGATTGAAATGGAGAAGAACACTGAAGGATCTGTTCCAATATTTAGTATGTAAGCTTTAACTTGTTTTCCCTGTGGGGAAAACTGAGGACCTAGAATGGAGTGTATATGGCCTAATCTCTATGCTCGTAATCACAGGGCCTGGAAGACCAGCTCTAGCTGAAGAAACTCTAGCAGAGGAAGACTTCTGCAGTCCTGAGATAGAGATAAAACCTCATGCACATCCTCCAGTGAGGAGGATTTTCCCACAGTAGCCCTCCATGAGGCGGCCACTGTAAAGATATCTCTCCAAGCACCTGGGCGCTCACTACGGAGAGTACCTATCTTTAAAAGCAATCAGATTCTTGCGTCCTTCTGCTCAAGTCAAGGAGATGCCCCTTGATGCTTTTTGATACTTATCATAGGGTGTTCCCCTGGTGATCTCAGGGGATATCCAAGTACTGGTCAGCCGCTGCCCATTCTATTTCATATGTACCTGCTGGAGGCTTGCAAGCCTCATTACTTCATATATAACCCTGTTGGGAAATATATTTGCTCTCTCTTGCTCTTGATTCCAGTATGAGTGGAGGTGAGCCCCTGTTGCCTCACAGTCTTGTCTTTTTCTTCCTTAATTGCACACACTGCTCCTAAGGACCTGTTTGTGCGGCTGGATCCCACATCCCTGTACATTATGCCCTCTAATCAGGAGACTCTTTTACCTTGGCCAAGAAATAAATCCCTATTCTTTTATGAGCATAAAAGGAAGGTCGCTAACCTTGCTTTGATGACTATTCATGTGGAAAAACAAAGAGCCTCAACAATCAAAAGAGGAAACCAACAATAGTCAGTGCTGACAAGTAGCAGAGCAGCCAGTGGAACTGACTAAACACACATTATTCATGGGACCCAGGAATCCCACCCCTAGCTATTTTCCCAAGAGAAATAAAATTTATCTTCACACAAAAATTTGTACATGAATGTTTATAGCACTTATTCTTATAATTGTGAAAAACTGGAAGCAACCCAAATTTTCTCCAGCAGGCAAATTATAAAGATGTTGTAAATCCATACAATAGAGAAGCATTCAATAATAAAAACAGATGAACTATTGATTTATACCAACACATGGTAATTCTGAAAGATTTTATGCTAAATGAAAGAAGCCAGTTTCAACATTTTATACATTATATAATTCCATTTACATGGTGTTCTGGAGAGTAAACTAAAACTGATAGAGACCAGATCAGTGATTTCACTGTGAGAAGTTGCCTCTTTAGAATATACATATTCGATTAAAGGAGGGTGGGGTGAGAAAGAGGGATCCATCACATGGATCAAACTAGAACCCCCTCCCAGGGGGACGAATAACAGAAAAGTGTGTGAGGGGTGTAAGAGGATGATGTAAGATATGGGCAAAATAATCTATAACTTATCAAGGGTTTGTGAGGGAGGGCAGGCAGGGGAGGGTGGGGGAAGAAATGGGGAGCTGATATCAGGGGCTCAAGTGGGAAGAGAAGGCTTTGAAAATGATGATGGCAGCATATGTGCAAATGTGCTTGTTATATTGGAGGAATGTATGGATTGTGATAAGAGATGTAAGAGCCCTCAATAAAAGTATTTTTAAAAAGAATATACATATTGAAGAAACAGAAACCAAAATTCACATATGATAGTGAAACTAGCAGTTACCATTATTTAGCAGTTATATTAGTTCATTTTGTCCTCTTACATAGAACCGATTGGATAGTGTTGAGCTAACATATATTTGAATACTGGCATGTGACCATGAGTTGAAAGCAACTCAACAGCAACTAACAGCAAGTATCCAGTTCACCATTGTACTGCTGGAGGTTTTCCGTGTCATGGTACGCTGTAGTAGGAGTTTCTGGGCAGTACAGATAATTAATGTGCTCAGCTGCTAACCAGAATGTTGGTGGATCAAGTCTACTTGAAAGAAAGGCCTAGTGATCCATTTCTGATAAATCACCCATCAGGAACCCTGTGGAGCACAGTTCTACTCTGACACACAAGGGGTTGGCATGCCCTAGAATCTACTCCATGGCAATTGATTTGATTTGATTTGGTTTAGAATGTTTCAACCTTAAGCATAAGTAAATTCGATAATATATAAGTGGTGGAGATGTATTCTTATAACAAAAATATTTTAAATGAGTTCTAATTTAAAGAATATGATGAAGAAAAAGACATCTAATAATTTATAAACTGGAAAACTAAGTCATCTTCTGTCTAAATCAATTTTATTTTTCGAAACTAAGCTGCTTGATTAAATCTTGATATTCTTTCCTAGCATTTTAGTAACTTTAGATATGTCTCTGATTAAACATGTTAAGACAATTACTGTTGTAACTATCTTTCCATGTTTCTCACTGCAGGTTGTGCATATAATTATATAAAAAAATATTGCTGTTGAGTTGGTTCAGACTCATGGTGGCCTCACTTGTTATGGAATAGAACTGAGCTCCATGGTTTGTTTTGAGCATATTTGGGCTTGGGTAATCCGTAGGGTTTTCTTTGGCTGTAATCTTTATGAAAGCAAACAACCAGGCCTTTCTTCCTGAGTGCCACTGGTTGACTTTGAGCTGCCCTTTTCCATAGTAGCTGTGGTAGTTACATAATCTGGTGTCAATTTGAGATTACAAGTGAAGGGGTGGAATCTGGCTTGTCAATCAAGATAGAACCCGTGGGGCCTCTGTGTGGGCATGATCTTCTCCTGAGAATTCTGGGAACGCCCGTATTTCCTCCTTGGAGGCAGGAGACTCTTCTCTCTCTCTCTGCTTAGTCCCTTGGAGACTCTCTACTGATAAAGACTCACTCCCTGAGAAACGCTCTACTGACAAGACACATGGCACTACACCCTGGGAGCTGGAGAAGCCACATGGACCTACCCTGATGCAATCAGACCTCTGGAGCCGGAAAAGCCGCCTAGAAACCCTGCCAGTGCTGAGATGCTTACAACATCACTGGAGCCACAAGACTTCCAACTCACTAGCCTGTGATCTTCCTGCATTCAGCATCATTGCATATATTTCATGAGTCTGAAGTGGACTTTATAGATTGGTATCAGACATATGGGCTAATATTGGACTTATGGATTTGATCTGGACTAGACTGGGACATTTTCTCAGTATTCAATCACTCTTATATATGTGTGTGTATTTATGAATTTGTTTCTCACAGTATGGTTCTGGGAGCGGGATACTAGAGAAACAAATCAGTTGAGTCTCCTGAATTTATTTCTCTTGTCTACCCAGACTAACACAGTAGCTGAATGCAAACTGCCACACAGGGCCATTATCATTTGGTAAATAGAGTTAATTACTCTCTGCACTTTTTGTTTTTTCTTCAATAATACTGGGAGAGTCTGTGTAAGTAGCTATAGCTTTATCTACATTAGCGGGTTCTCAACCTGTGGGTTGCGACCCCCTTGGGGGTTGAACGACCCTTTCACAGGGGTCAGCCAATTCATAACAGTAGCAAAATTACAGTTATGAAGTACCAACAAAATAATTTTATGGTTAGGGGGGTCACCACAACATGAGGAACTGTATTAAAGGGTTGCGGCTTTAGGAAGGTTGAGAACCACTGATCTACATGATCATGTAAACTGGCTGCCTTGTAAGATTCCACCCACCCCCATAATTATTAGCCATTCTCTAAATGTTGGATATTTGTTTCGAAAGGTTTTCTGTTAGAGGATACAACTTTCATAGCTGTTTCTGTAAATTTCTGAGCTTTTCAGGATATTTAACGTCAACACTGCTTATATATAATCCGTTGACATTGCTTTGAATTTACAATAATCATAATTTCTATACTTATTCTATTTTATTGTAACTAAAGAACTCCACAAACTAAAGAACTTTATTTATTAAAGATAAAATATTTGTGCAACTATATTTTTCTTAAATAATGATTTTTGAAAGGATATTTTATTCAACAAATACTAAAAAAAATATAGTATTTTTAAAATTACGTTTTACCTGATATTTTGAAATCTTGATATTTATCTATCTGGATGATTTTTTTTTTTTTTTGTAGATTACCTTTCTCAAGGAATCGATCTTTCTGGAATAGAAGTAATAGAAAATGATCTACTTTTTATTGGAAGAGCTCGGCTTGAAGTGGAAAATCAAGCTAAGCGCCTACTGGAGCAGGGTGTGGAAACTCAGGTACTACAAACTATACCTTTTTTAATGTGAAAAATATGGCATGCTACCAATGAATATTTATTTGACTTTGAGTTCTAAAAAATAATATGTGTCCCAATTTTATTGCTAAGGTACCAACTACTTATATAATTTGAATTAGAGAATAGGGTACAAAATGTAAAGAAGATTATAATGGACATATATTTAATCCTACTAAAATTAGTTGAGGAGTGTGCATTGGTGGCATAGTGGATTATGGGGTGGGATGCTATCCTCAAGGTCAGCAGTTCAAAACCACCTGCTGCTCCAAGGGAAAAAGATGAGGCTTTCTATTCCTGTTAAAAGTTCCAGTCTCGGGAAGTGCTGCTGCTTCCTTTCTGTTGTCGGCCCGAGAGCCTGTTGTCGAAATGGGCAAGTTCATGAAACCCGGGAAGGTGGTGCTGGTCCTGGCGGGACGCTATTCGGGACGCAAAGCCATCATCGTGTAGAACATTGATGATGGCACCTCGGACCGCCCCTACAGCCACGCCCTGGTGGCTGGAATCGACTGATACCCCCACAAAGTGACAGCTGCCATGGGCAAGAAGAAAATTGCCAAGAGGTCAAAGATCAAGTCTTTTGTGAAGGTGTATAACTATAATCATCTCATGCCCACAAGGTACTCCGTAGACATCCCCTTGGACAAAACTATCATCAACATGGATGTCTTCAGAGATCCTGCTCTTAAATGCAAGGCCCATCGAGATGCCAAGGTCAAATTTGAAGAGAGGTACAAGACAGGCAAACCAAGTGGTTCTTCCAGAAGCTGAGATTCTAGATCTTGAGTCAAAATCATTAAAAACACCCCCAAAATTAAAAAAAAAAAGTTCCAGTCTCAGAAACCCACAGGGGTAGTTCTACTCCAACCTGTAGAGTCAATATGAGGCAGAATTGACTCGATGGCAGTGAATGAGTGAGATATTAAGAATTTTAGTGTATGTTGTCAGTAATATGAAATACAATTCATATGATGTATTGGTAGATAGTATTTGTTCTGAGTATATGTTCTGTTATTCACAACACTACTTTTTCCAGCTACTGACTTAAATAATGCACTGCAATAGCCACATAGAACTCACAGACAATATTCATGATTAACGGGCTTAGTAATAAAGCTAACAGTGACAATGCCGGTGAGAAATGCTCAAGATACAGTTATTTAATCAGGACATCTTCTTTCAAGGCTGCTAATAAATGCCCAAAGGGCATGCCACCACTCCCATGTAAGTCTCAACCTGAAGCCCTTCAGTGAATCCAGCTCCCTGAATTAAGTGCCCAGATGTACCCTACTCCAGGAAGCTGCAACAGAAAGGCATCCAACTCCACTTCCTTTGGTGGGCAAACCCAGCTTCCTCAATTGAATGCCCAGCGGTACCCCACTTCATAAGCCAGTCTCTTGCCATAAAGCACTCAGCTTTATTTGCTCCACCACTCTTCTCACGTCCTGCCTTCTGGTTCTGCTGCTGCTCTTCTGATGTCACAGCTGTCTTCTGGACCAACAAGGTTCATTGCACGGAGATCTTCCCCCACCTTCTTGCCCAGACCTACGCAAGAAAAGCTCCTGGCTAGAAGAGCCGCGTGCCCTTGTCTTGTGCTTGTTTGTTTAAGACATTGCTACTGTCTTTAAGTTTCTCAGCTCAGTAAAGTTGGCACTGTGGTGGTTTCTTTTTTCAGAAGAGGAAATGGAGAGTTTAAATTTGTCCATGGTATGCAGCTAGTAAATTGGGATAGGTAAGGTCCAAAGCATCAGTATGTTAATTCCAGAGTTTGGCATCCTTTTTCTTTTAAAATCATTTCATTGGGGGCTCATACAACTCTTATCACAATCCATCCATCCATTGTATGTCAAGCACATTTGTACTTTTGTTGCCATCATCATTCTCTAAACATTTGCTTTCTCCTTGAGCCCTTGGTATCAGCTCCACTTTTTCCCCCCTCTCTCCTCTTTCCCCCCTGAGTTTGGCATCCTTAATCATTATGCCATAATTTTAAACAATTCCAATTTATTCATTATTTCTTCTGAGTTACCATATATACCCGTGTATAAGCCAAGTTTTCCAGCACATTCTAATGTAGTTTTTGTGGTAAAATTAGGTGCCTCGGCTGATATTCGGGTTGGCTTAAACTCGGGTATATACAGTAACTCTCTGATGCTCATTTTACTTATGTAGAAAAAGCCCTCAGATATTAATCTATTAGAAGAGTTCTTGTAGTGCTCGCTTCGGCAGCACAAACACTAATATTGGAACGATACAGAGAAGATTATCATGGCCCCTGCACAAGGATGACACGCAAACTCGTGAATCATTCCGTATTTAAAAACAAACAAACAAACAGTGTTTATTCATATTTCTTTGATATTTGCAGTGCCATCTGGTATTATCCATTTGTGTTGGACCTACATACAATAATTAATATTTAGATTTTTAAATGTATTTAAACCAAGGGTTTCATTTTGTACGTTTCTATTATATAAAAATGTTATTAATAACTCGTAAACATTCTAAAAATAAAGACAGTATTTATTTGACATGATTCTGAACTGTTATAATTTAAAAAATATAATTGAACATCAGTTACTTATTAACATGAACTTTTGAAAGTGTAGTACATACAGGAGAAACCTTGGTGGTGTCATGGATTAAGCATTGGGCTATTACCCTAATGGTCAGTGGTTCAAAGCCTTCACCATCCCTGGGGGAGACAGATGAGGAAGTGTGCTTTTATAAAGATGCATAGCCTGGGAAGTCCTGTAGAACAGTTCTACTCTGTCCCACCGGGTCTCTGCGAGTCATATTCATGGAAGGCAATGTGTTGTTTGTCTGTTTGTTTAAATACATGTATACATACAGAAAGGTGATTACAATCAGGAATTTACATATAAATGAAAGATCACAGTACCACCAAGTACAAGAGGGCTTCAAAAAGTTCACACAAAATGGTATTTGAAGATAATGGAATGTTCCCCCAAACTTGTTGACATCACCCCATTCCAGCACTCCTGAGGTCTCTTCACGCACAGCCCCTCGCCCTCCTCCCCAGAGGTGACCACTGTCCTGACTTCCAGCTCTCAAGTTTAGTCTGCTATTTATTTTTTAACTTGAGATCTCCTTATAAGGATGAAACATAATTATGTGCTTCTGTACATAAGAAAAGACACCTTTTTAAGATCTTAAAAAGAGTAGCAAAGAAAACTTTGTTCAAGTTTTTCTACTTGAACTCGGAGGAAGAGCAGCGCCTTGTTAGAAGAGGCTGTCAGCTCCGCTCCCCAGCACTGTCCACATATGCAGATTCCATTGTCTTTGGTGTCTTCTTTGTTTTCCTTTAGTCAGTGCTTTGTAACGTTTCAATATGGTAGTTAGACTAAGGCATCCCCAAAGGAAGCTGTAATGAAGTACTACAACATGTTTATAGTAGAGATGGGCGATTTTATCAGGCCACACAGAAATGCTTACTTTCAAGGGTGAATTTCCATATTCTTGTATCATTAGCATGAGAAAATGTTTTCTAGAAAGTATTGTACATATTTTATTATTTGTGTACATTTCATTAATTGCCAATTTTATTTTTGCTTTATATAGTCTGATTTATATTAAAAATGAAAAAAGAACCGGCAAACTTTGAAGAAATTAATATTCCTTAAGTATTGATAGTTCCATTATATATTCAGATTTTCTTACATTAATCAAAAGATTATTAAGCTAGGAAGCTGTGGTTATTTAGTCAAGACCCTATCTCTGATGAAGTTAAAAAGGTGCAGTAAGAGTGAGTTAGAAAGATAAAGAAGTGCGATGTAGCAGCGATGAAACATACTACTTTCCTCTAGTTCCTAAATGCTTCCTCCCCCCACCCACCATCATGTTCCAAATTCGCCCTTGCAAGTCTGGTAGACCAGAGGAGGTACACTGGTACAGATAGGAACTGGAAACACAGGGAATCCAGGGCGGAAGATCCCTTCAGGACCAGTGGTGTGAGTGATGATACTGGGAGGGTAGAAGGAGGAGGGTGGGTTGGAAAGGGGGAACCGATTACAAGGATCTACATGTGAACTCCTCCCTGGGGGAAGGACAACAGAAAAGTGGGTGAAGGGAGAAGTCGGACAGGGCAATATATGACAAAAATAATAATTTATAAATTATCAAGGGTTCATGAGGGAGGGGGGAACGGGGAGGAAGGGGGGCGGAAATGAGCTGATGCCTGGGGCTTAAGTGGAGAGCAAATGTTTTGAGAATGATGAGGGCAATGAGTGTACAAATGTGCTTTACACAATTGATGTATGTATGGGTTGTGATAAGAGTTGTATGAGCCCCTAATAAAACTATTTTTTTAAAAAGGTCAAGAAGAATAAATAGGAAAGTGGGTCTGAGCAGTAGCTGTGGAATGCTCTGCATGGATCTTAGAAAGCAAGAGCCACGGAGCTTTACTCTCTGTGTAGCCTTGCATGCTTTGGAGGGCCCTCTCCGTGGATGAGACTACTGTTTCTTTATAAGACTGTAAAGCTCAGGGTTACAGCATCTTTGGTGATGTTAGCCATTAAGATTACTAAGTTCATTTTTCTTATTTAGTTTATATAAAGTTATCTTATGAATATAATTTGGGTTCCGATATAGCTTTCCTTAAAGGGAGAAAATGTTAGCAGTTATTGCCAATATTAAGAATATTCTGGTTCAATTCTGTTTGTACTGCACTTTCTCATCTGTAAATTGACATTTGGGCTTGGCCATGCATGTCTGTCTGTTTCAGATCTGGATCCTCTGGGATATGGTCTGAAAATTAGGTTTCAAGCGTTTCTTGCTTTGCAGAGGTAATGACATCAGTGAGATAATGCTTTCTGGGAAAGAGGGTGCTCTAGTGAAAAGACCCTGTGTTTGGGAGCTTGACATCTGTTACTGTCTACTCCTCTGGGACTACAACCAGCCAGAGGTGATGTTCAGTTGTGTCAGCAGGTAGTGTAGGAATTAAGAATGAAACTAACCTTTACT